ATAGCAAGTAAAGAGAAGTGAAAGCTAGAGTGAGAAGGTCTAAAATACATTTGATTACATTTCCAGGAGAGAAAAAGAATGAGGGAGAGGAGATTTATGAAATAATAGAAATAATACGTGTTATTACTTATTTTGATGCTATGCTTGTCTCATATTGGCAAGTGGAGACCCTTTATTAAGCTAAGATTTTTCAGAACTGATGAAAAAATTTACAGACTCAGGTAGCCCAATAAACTGTATAGTTTTTCGTTTTTGTTTTTTTTTTGGCAGTACGTGGGCCTCTCACTGTCATGGCCTCTCCCGTTGCGGAGCACAGGCTCCGGACACGCAGGCTCAGCGGCCATGGCCCACGGGCCCGGCCGCTCCGTGGCATGTGGGATCTTCCCGGACCGGGGCACGAACCCGTGTCCCCTGCATTGGCAGGCGGACTCTCAACCACTGCGCCACCAGGGAAGCCCAACTGTACAGTTTTTAAAAAGAAAAAATCACAACTAGATGTAATATTGAACCTGAAAAAACTACAAAGTGAAAAATCTTAAAAACAAAACTGATTACTTAAAGAAGCAACAGTTAAAATAGCTAAAGTCTAAACAGAAGCTAGAAGCCACTGGAATGATATCTTCCATGTACTGAAAGCTATATGCCAACCTTGTACTCTATACCTAGTGTTGCTTGGGAACTAAAAGTACCAGCATAAACTCATGACCTATAAACATGAACTGTGTCTATAGACATAGAAGGGTACAAACATATACTTCTAAAAAGGCCTAGAAGCAATACCATCACAGTGGTAAAATCCAGATTTTCATTTCTACATACCATTCCCCACTAAAAGGAACCAGGAATCCTTGGAAAAAATGACTGACTTCAGGGATCTCAGGCAGAAAAAGTATAAGATGAGCCTGGTATACCTGGTTATGCCAGAACAGAGGTGCTCAAAAAATGACAGGGATATGTCAAAAGGACACAGGAGCCAGCTTGAAGGAGATCCCATTTACCAAATCTGGGATAAGTTGATTTAAACCATTTATATCCTTAAGGTTCTAAAAGTTCCAGTTAAGAGACAGAGATTATTAGATTGGATAGTGAAAGAAAATTTAACTGTATGCTGTATATAAGAGACGCATCTAAAACATAAAGATACAGAAAGGATTTAAGAGAAAAAGATCCACCATACGATTATTAAAAGCTAGTGTAGGACTTCCCTGGTGGCGCAGTGGTTAAGAATCCACCTGCCAATGCAGGGGACACGGGTTCGAGCCCTGGTCCAGGAAGATGCCACATGCCACGGAGCAACTAAGCCTGTGCACTGCAACTACTGAGCCTGCACTCTAGAGCCCACGAGCCACAACTACTGAGCCTACATGCCAAAATTACCGAAGCCCGCGCACCTCTAGCCTGTGCTCCACAACAAGAGAAGCCACCGCAATGAGCAGCCCGCACACTGCAATGAAGAGTAGCCCCCGCTCGCCACAACTAGAGAAAGCCTGCACGCAGCAACAAAGACCCAATGAAGCCAAAAATAATTAAAAAAAAAAAAAAAAGCTCATGTAGCTATACTGACATGCCCACTTAAAGAAACATGGCTTGCATCTGTGCAAAACAGACAGCTGGCACTCAAACTCCAGCAAAAAGTTTTATAGGCAGGGTAGGGAGGTGTTGGGGGTAGGAGTAGGGTGAACTGGTGGTCACTGCCTGATCATTTTCCAATGCAGACTTTTAATTAATCCTCTTCTTTTCTGTCCTACATTTCATACTCACTCTCTACTAGGCCATGCTTTCATAAATTCTGCTCATTTTCCATTTACTTTTTCCAGGGAATTAAACTTCTAGTCTCCTGCCGGAGCATGGACTGGAAGGGGGCATAAGGTAGGCAACTTGGTTACATAAGAGGTCAACTGTTTCCTAAATACAGATTTTTCAACTTATGTTGTTTTCATTTGGTGCTTCATTTTCCAGGGTTATTCCACGTCAACCAGCTCTATTCACGTTGGTTTCTTTGCACAACTTATCCACCTACCCCATCTTCTGAAATACTGTTACACTCTTTTGTCCCCTGATGACATCCCTGCCATTATTTGTTCGTGTGTTTTATACCTTTTTATAAACTGTAACAAGATCTCAGTGAGGAGATAATGTATGTGTTCAATCATCCACCTTTTATAGGAAATTGTTCATGTTTTTAAAAATTCTGTAGGTTTACAGTGCTTTCAAATCTGATAGGCTCCATTTCTCATTACACTTTACAAAGACCTCCTTTGGTACTTTAACCTGTTTATTCTTCCAGATGAAGTTAGATTCAATTTGCTAATTCCCTGCCCTCCACTATCCAACTATAAATGTATCAGTGCATGGGCACAGACACGCACACCTACACCCCCACTTTTAAAAATAAATTCTGTATAAATGCATTTAAGGGGTACTGATCACCATGAAAAACTGAAAAACCGTTGCACAGGATGCACAGGCATTCTTCTGCATTTTGCCAGATCAGAGCCTTTCCCAAAGGACATATGCATAAGCGTTCCCTTGAAAAGCTCACTAGTTTTCCAGAACCTAGGAAACATTAAAGTGAATATCTTAAATACCTCTTAAAGCATTTTATAAATTAATAATATTCCCAACTCTAATCTCATATAATGTCGCCAATTTTTCATTACAATTTAACTTCCAACGTAACTTTTTAGTATTCCAGAATGGCTAGCAGTTACCTCTCTCATTACATATGAGTATGTTGACATTCTGGTCTATGTAAGCATGATTAGGGTGAAACTGTCCCCGAAGGGCTGGGGACACACACTCAGTTTACAGATAAAACTAATTTTCCAAGTCCACATGGCTGAAGCCGAAACAATAGGAATGTTATGAATTTACCAATATAAATGCCATTTTATTAAGTCCCTTGGCAGCAAACTTCTGTGGCATCTTAACATTACTTTGATCCTGATTTCAAATTCTGAAACAATACATCCATTCATACACCTAACAGTTGCTAAATATTCACTCCAAGTGAGGAAGAGGCATTAGATTCCTGCCCTCATCAAGCTTAAAGACTAGTAGGGGAAACAAAAAGATGACTGACTATACCACAATGTGTTAAATGCTAGGGACAGATTCTGTGAGAATATAAAAGAGAAATACAGGATATTTAACCCAATCTGAAAGGATCTCCTGAGCTGAGTGTTAAAGAGCACATAGGGAAGAGCCAAATGAAAACAGAGAAGAAAAAGAAAGGGCTTCCTAGGCCAGAGGACTAGCACCTGAGGTCAGGGCAGCAGCAGTAAAAAAGAAAAGAAAAAAATGAAGCTGAGACACAAGATAGAAGAAAGATCACAAAGGGCACTACACATCCAGAAGAGTTTAGGTTACCAACAAAGTTAGACTTTTATGCAGGGAGTCTGTCAGGGATAGATTTGCACATTGGGAAGATCACTCTGGTGGTAAGCGGAGAAACTGAAAGAGGTGTAGAGGGTTGAAGATAACTTGAAAGCAGGGATACTCTTAAGAAAACTACTGCATTAATCCAGGCAAGCAATGATGAGGGCCTGGACTGGGGCATTAGCACAAGGCTAGAGCAATGGTTTTTGATCAAGGGTAGTTTTGCATTTTTGGCTGTCACAACTGGGGAAGCACTACTGGAATCTAATAGGTACAAACCAGGGATGCTGTCAACCACCCTACAGTGTACAGGACAAACCCCCAACCCCCAAATGACTGCACAGTCAGAATAATGCTAAGTTCTAGACTGACCCAGCACAAGCCTGCAGAGGTGGCTGATTGGGCATTCAAGGGGTTGGATGGGGGCTGTCAGCCTGTCTCTGCCATATATAAGCTCCACAACCTTTCTGCTAGTTACTTAACCCAAGATTCAGTTTCTTCAATTATAGAATAGCAATAATCCCATTTCAACATAGGGTTGTTTTGAGACTAAACAAGGTATTTTTAAGTGGCTAACATAATGCCTAACCCACAGGGAGCAAATACCCAGTAGGTAATGTTATCTGTCAATCATTCCTCAGGAAAAAGAATACTTTTCTTTTAAGGAAGACCCAAGGTTAGAGATATTTGCTTCATATCATGGCTACAGTTTACAGCTGCTCTCATCTTTCCTATGGACTTCTAAAGAGAAGTCTGGAAAAGACCTACTACTACCTGTAGGCTTAGTCCTACTGGCTAAATCTCTGGTAAAGTCAAATAATTAAAGAGAGCACGTAACAGAACCCACCAACAAAACTACACCAATACTGAAGACACCAAGGACTCAATGTTTATCTGACTTTTATGTAATATAAAGTCTTCCTTAGTATGGATTATATATCCTACTAAAAAAGACAAGTATATTTACCTTATCATTATTCTCCCTTTATTTTAAAGGAAGAGTATAAAATTGGCAATTTCCCTTAGATTCTAGATGGGAAGGACCACGTCATACTCATTATTTGATTTCTAGCACGTGGCAATAGGATGCAGTAAAAAGGTTTTTGCATAAATTAAATTATATTTCTAACCTTTCTTAAACTCAAGGTAGTCACAAAAGTTATCATACCTACTCTTTTCCTAGTACGTATATGTACTGGGGAGGAGGTTTCCATGGGAGAGATTAAGTGCTTTCCCTCAAATGTTTCATTACAGAAATAAAAAAAGAACACTTCCTTCTTAAAGGAAGTGCTGTCTCCATGGAATGGAGGGTAGGGAAGATGAGGGAACGATTAAAATCAAGTTAATAGTTAGTACCTCTTTGAAATTATGACTGCTGTGAGACTGACCTAGTATGAATATACAAATTTTGGGGGTTCTACTGCTTTTAGAGGAACTAACTATGACTGGAGGAACTGTACCACTAACTAGAATGCAGTCTAAAGGAAACTGCGGAGGTTTTAAAACATGTATGACATAATTACAACTTCCATGAACATTTAGTACTGTGAAGTTACCAAATGCAGAACAGCTCTAAGTACTCAGATTAATGTGTAAATTCTAATAAATACTGAGGAACTTACCTAGATTTATCCAAATTCCACCTGGTTTGAGTATTTTCCATATTGTGTCAATATAATCAATTACATTGTGAGCTGTGTCTATGAAGAAACAGGTAGCAATACAGTCCCAGGTACCTATTCAAGGAAAATCAAATTACTACATGTTATATTATTTTGCCTTTCTTTTAATGAATTCTATAAAGGTACCAGTTACCTCTTTACAGACTATGAATATTTCATTTAACTGCAGGGGTATAGAAGCTAAACTCTTCCAATCAACTGCTATAATCAAGGCTACCAAATAATCATTTATGAGATACTTTTTTTACTTTTTACTTTTATTACTAATTTGATAAGGTAATCAATTTGGAAATCATTTTTGATAACCTATATCACTATATCCTTACCAAATAATATTTATAAGAGTTTTGTTTATAATCTTTTCAACTTCTAGCCTTCATTTTAAATCAGTTAAGATGAAATAATATTTGAATTTTAAGTTGTGATTTAAACCAGTGTTAGCTACCAATTCCGGAAGGTTTCAAAAAGACTGCATGCATTTGCTGCCAATTGAGAAATGAATGGCATCAGAATACATAAGCATCCACCAGTACTTGGGAGAACTGCCAGTTGAAAAGGGGGATGGGGGCAGTCAGCAGCAGTGGGTGGGAACCCAGCAGAGAACTCTGTTTGCCTTCTGGAGGCTGTGGCCTGGCACAGAGACAGAAGAGACTGCATTGAAGGTGGCTGTCTGTACAAATAAGGCACTTGATCCAACTGCGGATTACCTTCACCATCTCCTCTTTCAAACCTGCTCCAGAAGAAAGTCACTTTTACTTGACAAAGCAATGTTTTCCATTATTTCACTCCTATTTTGAGACCCTGCTCCCTAACTTACCCCCAGCACCTAACACCTTCTATCTCCCTCCTTCTACCTTCAGAGTGCAGGTTTTCACAAGGTCAGCGTTCAGGGAAAAACAAACAAAAACTTTACTATCTTGTTCCTCTCCCACTCTAATCTCTCCAAGGCCTCCCATTTCTCTCAGAACACAGTCTTCGCTGTGGCCTACGAGTCAGCCCCACCAAACCCACTCCAACCTCATCTCCCATCATTTGCCCACTGCTTATCACACCCCAGCCAAACTGACCCTCTTACTCTTCTTGAGCAGAACAAGCGTCCTTCCCACCCCCTAAATCTTCTTTCCTTTGCCATTCCCCCTGCAACTCTTTCCCCCACATATCTGAATGGCTTGCTTCTTCATTCCTTTGAGGTTCTCTGCTAAATCTTTCTTCTTAAGTTCCCCTTTTAGAAAGACCTTCCCTGGGAATTCTATATAAACCAGCAGTCTCTCCCCAGTCACTCATTATCCCCTTTACCCTGCCTTATTTTTTCTTCCTCACAATATTAATTTGTTATCGTCTCTCTCTCCGAACTAGAATATGGGTTCCCTGTGCACAGGGGCTTTGTTTTGCTCACTGCTGTCTTTGCAATGCCTGCTACTTAGCAGGTACTCAACAAATACCTGTTAAATGAATGAACTTGCTGACCCCTCAGCCTTCTATTTTTCTTCTTCCTTTTATTGCCAATCCCTCTCTCCTCTTTCCCCATTATCATCTCCCTTTCTCTAATGCCTAGCTCATATTTCTTCAACATTTTGCCAGGCTGAAGTCCAAACTTCATAGCCTGATTTTAAAGGTCATCCACAATCTGGAACCAACCTACTTCTCTAGCCGTATCTCCCATTAAATCCCCAAATGTCCTTTTTCCTTCCAGTAAGGCTATTCTACCATCCCCGATTACCTTACTCATTCATATCTTTGTACCTCTGAATGCCATTCCTCCCTATCCTTCAAGTCACAGCCTCGCCACGAAGAGCTCACTTCTCACACTAACCTACTTCCATCTTTATTGTATTCATTACTCAACCTTTGCTTACATGTTGTCTTATATTAATAGACCCAACAGATTCTAAATTTCTTAATTGTGGGATCTCATATTTCTTTGTATTTCCCATCACTGCCTTATACATAACTTTGAAAATATTCTAAATTGTCGTTGAAGTATACCTTATATTCTATCGTCAAAATGAATGACCACAACGTTGGCCTAGTATAAAATTAGCTCACTAAATTTAGAATAAAGCATGTGATCTTTGGACTTACTGCATTCTGAGTATATCTCCTGAAAATCTCCTGCTGTCATAGAAAAGTTAGAACTGGGAGGAAGACTGTGGGGGTCAACATCAGGGAAAAAGATGGGTCGAATCTGATCAGCTGACCTCCTGTTATTGCTAAACTGATGAATCCAGGGATAAAGCTTATATTTATTAATTTCAGAACATCTGCAAAATATGAGCATAAAATTCAGTGTTAACTAAATATTTTACCAGGGAAATCTACTTTAAACACTAAAATATAATCTGTTTGATTGAAGATTTACTTATATAATTAATACTTAAAAGTGTTACCACTACACTCCACCCAATTATCTGAAACTCCACATAGGCATGTAGATGAGTAACCAATCACGGATTAAAACACAGAAACAAAATTAAGGTAAATTCAGATATATAAATGTGCTATTTTCACTCAAATTTTTAAAAATATATCACTGAAACTCAAGCTCAAGTAAAAAAGTCTAAGTATTTTTTTCAAAAAAGGTATGGGTTTTGTTTGTTACCTAATTATTTTAATTATTTTGTACAACACTCTCCTTTCTACCTTCTCACTATCCCCTAACTCACACTGCTACCAAGACAACACATTATTTAAACAAGGCAGCCATTTATTTTTTCTCTAACACACCTCTTCTGGCTTTAAAAACTCTTTTCCACTACTTTCTAAATGAGGCCACAGAAGTTCTGCGAGATCTTTCCAACTAAGATATGTGAGCCATTTATAAGAATTTGACTAAGAAAAAAATTATGATTGCTACATTATAATCTTACTCCACTAAAGAAACAAAGGGGTGAATAAGTTTAAGGAACAATAAGAAAATACTCCTTCCAGGACAATACTTAGCCCAAAATTCTGCAGAGAAATCATTTCAGTTTCATGGAGTACCCAATCACTTTTAAAATATCACTTACCCATCCCGTTCAACATTCTGTTAACTAGGCAACTAATTAAAGTAGTAATTGTATAAGCAATTTAATTTCGATCAGAAACATTTATGATATATACCATATTTAAACACTACGTACTTATCTTCAAATTCAGAATTCTGCAAAAATAGGTAAGTCAATCTGATTCTGAGAAATTACTATTTCCAGCAAAAAGTAAATTAAATACCTGTTGAGTACAAAGTTGGAAGAAAAGAGCATAAAAAAACTCCATTCATTTCCTTGACAAGCATAACCTAGCATAGCTATTTCCCAGGCCAGTCTTCCTAGTCCAGCACCAGGTACCAGAATATTTACTTTAGAAGGATCCCTGAAATGAAATAAGGCAATTATGTCCAACCCCTCAAAGAAAAGGGGAAAAAAAAATATACAAAATCCATATTAACAACTAAAAACTTAAGATATTTAGTAAGAATAAGCTCACTCAAGACTCTGACTTCTTAAATTTGAGAAATACTTCTAAATATCAGTGAGAAATAAGGATATAAAGAATTATCAAATGTTCAGTTGTTGTTTTAGGGTTTTATCCCCAAAGTATTATTTTTAAGAAGAAAAAGGAGTCGCCTTATATCCAAGACTTATGAAGACACTCATATTCCTAGTAGCTATCACCTATCTGGGAAGACAAATTATTCCAAAAGGATCCCTATACATACAAAGAGACTGAACAAAATTATTTTAGCATATGAGACAGTAAAACAAGACATAACTTTATTTCTGAATTCTATATGTAATACAATGGTTTATGTGACCAAATTAAGTACAAGCAGATTTTAATGTGTCAGGTCTCTCCTTAAAATCTTATATGTTTCAATTGGCAAAAGAAGCTGGAGCTGGGATATTCTCATGGGGAAAATGGGGAACTGCCTTCTAATTGAGCATATATGATGGCAAACATATCACACCAAACCAGAGGTTCACAATCAAGCTGTTCTCCACTTATTAGCATAACTCTACCATCACAAATTTCCTTTACTGTAACATCTGTCATTCTATTTTCAGACCACTGAAAAGCCTTAGCAAAGCAAAGACTTTTCTCAGTACTTCTGGCAAATCAACATAAGCCTAAGGAAACTAAAATGTGTTCTTGTGAAAAACTAGAGAAAAATGTGTATAATCAGCTGTCATTGTGTCAATTAAAAAGGAATTTCATTATTGTCTGTATTCCCCAAATTTAGCTCATAAGTCAAATCCAATTTCCAAGTCTACTCCCATGAACAATTCTTTTTTATCTTTAAACTGTATGGGCTTTAAGTTTGATGTGCTCCAAATGGCAACAGGACTTTTTACTAGTAGCCCATATGATAACCTTTAGCATTTCCCACTTTGAAATGAAAAGAAACAAATAGAACTATGGGGCTTCTGAAAATTCAGTCTACAAATACAGTAACAAGGGAATTTGCCCAGCATCCTTCAATCTTAAATATCTATATATGGAACAGGTATTTGTATAAAAATCGCAACAAAGTCTATTTAGTCTGTTTTACTGCTGAATTTTATATATACAATAAGGCATAAACTGAAATTTGTTAAAAATGATTTCTGACAAATAGGCTTAATATGATTAGTAAGATATTCTTTAATACTTGACATGGACAAACTAATGCCAAGGTGCCTTATAATAGTTTTCACTAAAATAAAATAGAATGTTTCCTTTTCATTCCAGACTATATGCAATATGTTTGTATGTGCGAACACTAATTTTTAATAAAGAGAATGGGTACATGCTCTCATTCTGTTCAGGCCTACCTATATCAGTTATCTAACATGAACGTATATATTTTTAATACTAGAATCTGAAAAACTCCTAGCTGTAGGACTCTATGCTAGCCCTTGTATAAAGGACCGGCCACTGTCATTTTCTACTCCCCACCAGACCCACCAAAACACTTACTCTCCAGAACTACTACCTCTTTTCTTTTCCCACTTCCCATTTGCCCAATCAAAATCATGAGTTTTTTTACAAGTGGCTGTTTTCAGCTTAGATTTTTTTTAAAAAATCAAGGTAATGCAACAGAAGGTAAAAGGATCTGGAAGTAAATTCATAGAGTATTTAAATTTTAATAAAAACAATCACTAATAATCAATTTCTGAACAGCTCATAATCCGAGTAAAAGATTACCATGCAGAAATTAGAAATCATGTCAAACTTAAGGGAAAGTTGTGTTAATAACTGTACTAATATTTATTTTGTTCACTTAAAGAAAGTTAACTTTATGATAGCTATTACCAAATACTTCCAAACTGATCAGGCCTATAGAACTCTTTATCCCTACCTTGTGGCAGAAAGTTTCTATATAAAAATGCTATTAAAAGGCTGTCATAAAGCCATGGAATACAGAATACATCAAGCCTTACCTTAAGAGTTAGTAGAGATTACTATAGATCTATCAAGAGTTAGTAGAGATTACTATAGATCTATCAATTATTTGTATTACAGAAAGAAAAAAGAAGGATTTTAGTGGGAATATTAAAGGAGACACATTAAAACAAATTCTCTAAGAATGGAAAAAATGATCAAGAATCAAGCACTGAATGGGAGAATTTTTCCCCAAATCTTTGTTCTTAGCTAGATTTTTTTTCCCCCAATTGGGTCTTCATATAAGGGATATTAACAGCATACAAGAAAGTCCCTCTAAACACAATGTGTATAAAACTAAGGCACTCTAAAAGGCATTTTCTAGTATGAGTTCTTATAAAGTCAAGGGCATTTATACTCTGTGGAGAATAAGAGACATATAAGTCTAAGTATAGACCTTAATGGTGAACTGACTTTAAACTCAGAAAACCGGGAATAGAGCCATATGACTAATATGTGCCTCAGTAATCAAATGTTGCCTGTTTGAGATTCTCGGCAAAAAACTGGCAAGCAAACAAGTTTATGTAGTTATTAAGGCCCAACTATGGAGAAGCAGTATATTCACTACAAATTTAACACCTCTGATAATAGTGGGAAAAGTTTCAATGGTTTCCCAGGCAAGCAAGAATGAAGACGACAGAGAGCCCCAGTGTGTCTGAAGAGGCCGTGGATCATGTTTGCACCAAAATTTGTGATCCAACTATTTTACCAGCAGGAAATGTTGTTCTTGAAAGAAGTTTCCTTTATTGTACACACAATGATTTTTGCATAGCAGCTGCAAATCAGCAAATTCCAACACACAAAATTCTTTTTCTCGGTGTGTCAGCAGAGTGACACTTAGCTGACCCCTGGTGATAGGAGTATGCACAACTTTCAAGCATCAAAAGTGCTGGGTTCTATTTGAATCACAGCAATTCACATGGTAAAAGCCACAACTCATTTGTGGCTACTAAATACTCAAAATGTGGTTAGTTCTAATTGAGATGTGTTTCAAGTATAAAATAAATACCAGATTTCATAGACTTAGTATAAAAAAGGAATGTAAAATATCTCATTAATAACCTTGTATACTGATTATATGTTAATATATTTTAGATATACTGGGTTATTAAAGTATATTATTAATTTCACCTGTTTCCATTTACACTTCTTATGTGACTACGAGAAAATTTAAAGTAACACAGGCAATTTGCATTGTATTTCTGTTGAACAGTGCTGGTCCATACAGAGAAATCATAAAAACACAATTCTGAGCAAAAAAACAATTGTGAAATGACACCACAAACCATTATATGACCTTTTAAAACAGACAGAACACAATGTGTTGTTTATGTACATGTATATAGACACGTAGCTAATGCAGGAAGGTAAGATTAGAGTAACAAATTTATATTAGTTGTTATCTCTGGAAAGAGAGAAGAATGTGCTCTGTATTGTTTGCAGGGCAGTTTCAAGTGTATCTGTAATGTTTCTTTTAAAAAATACAGAAAAAAGAGATCTGAAGCAACTATGGCAAAATGTCAAGGTTTAATAGAGTTGGATGTTGAAACACTTTTTATTCAAACTAGAAAATGGGTTAGAAATCAGAATTAGTGTCTAGCCCCTTCAAAAATATGGTCCCAACTTACTTATCTACTCCCAATAAAGAACTCCATATATCAGCAAGACAACTTCTCATCCATTTCAGAAAACACTTTCTCACCTTAATCTTTAGAGCTCCTATAGAAACTGAGCTTAAATTATCACCGAATCTATAAAGTCTTTCTTTTTCCAAATATCCCAGGCAAAGCTTTAAGTCACTACTCAATGCTTTCAGTACTTCATTCATATCTCTGTTATAGTTTATATACCTAGCTCATCACTTCGCTTCTTTCATTTAATACAGGGGTCAGCAACTATGACCCACTAGCCAATCACCTGTAGTTGCAAATAAGGTTTTAGAACACAGCCATGTCCAGTCATTTATGTAGTGTCTATGGTTGCATTCCCATGACAAGAGAGCGAAATAGTCAGTCCCCAGAGACCACATTGCCTTCAAGATCTAAAATATTTTCTAGCTGGCCCTTTAAGAAAAAGTTTACCAATCCTGATCTAATGTATCTTGAACTTCTTTCCCAATCAGTGCACAGAGCTTTCTTAACCTATTTTATGACTGAATAAGTAGTCCACTGTAATACTGTATAATAATGTATCAAAATTTGATAATTAAGGACAACTAGATTGTTTCCAATCTCTTGCTATTATAACATTAAAACTAATATCCTCGGCATAAATAGTTTCCCTCATGTACCTCTGTGGATAGCTTTCCCAAAACTGAACTGCAAGGATCAAAAGATATGCATTAGAATTTTGTTAAAATTACCAAGTTGCCCTCCATAAAATTTTACTAATTTATTCTTCCATCAGCAACATGTTTCCTCACACCTTCAGTAAGTTATATAACTTTTAAATCTTTACAATATAATGGATGAAAATGGCATCTTAGTGTGGTTTTTTTGTTTTGTTTTTTTTTGCGGTACGCGGGCCTCTCACTGTTGTGGCCTCTCCCGTTGCGGAGCACAGGCTCCAGACGCGCAGGCTCAGCGGCCATGGCTCACGGGCCCAGCTACTCCGCGGCATGTGGGATCTTCCCAGACCGGGGCACGAACCCGCGTCCCCTGCATCGGCAGGCGGACTCTCAACCACTGTGCCACCAGGGAAGCCCCTTAGTGTGGTCTTTACATTTGCATTTTTGTATGAGATTAAGCACCCTGTATTTCTTTTTCTGTTTACTATTTACACTATTTTTCTACTAGGTTATAGTCTTGAATTGTTTTTCCACTGAGTTATTACTCTAGATTTGTAAGCACTTGAAATCCTGGAATGTAGGTGCTTGAGATCTTGATTTGAAAGAAATCTGAAATATATATCTGTCTTTGGTCTAAGAGGACTTTCTGGATAGAAAAAAGAGA